ACTAAAAGTCTAAAATTGTTGAAACATGATGGATTAAATGTGTTTTTTATGAACACGTGGGACCAAATGTGAAATTGGTGCAAACATGATGGTTGAAAACTGTAATTTTCCCCTAAAAGAAATATGGCCGAAAAGGATGGGGAGAATAAACTTTTAGTCCCTCATATTTAGGACTAAAGCATTTTTGGTCATTCTTGTTCTAAAAAACATGTTTGATCCATTCGATGGTTATCTTATATCTTATATGTAAAAGAAAGAAACGTTGGGCAACCCTAAAAAACCCTAATGGTATTTTTGTAACTATTTATTTATAATATTTTTTCTCTACTAATTTCTAATTATAATTTTTAACAATTATCAAAATTAAAATTAACCCGTGAAGAATTCTACCTTATTGCTAGTTATGGTATTATTTACTATATTTTCTTATTATGTATTAAATTGAAAAGCAACAATTCCCACTAATAAATTTTATGACCATGTGGCGTCGCCGAATGTTGGGGTGTCGATCCCGGATGGGATTGTGGGGCCGACCCATTTTTCTTCAAGTTTGACGGATTGGGGTCAGGATTTCCACTATTGTCCTCTCCTTGGATTAAGAAAGGAACTCGTAAGAAGTGGGAAAATTACATTTTTTGTCCTCATACTTTATATACCCACTTTTTTAAAACTGTCCCTAACCATTTTGGAGTTACATTAGTAGTCCTTAATCATGCCATTTTTTGACAGAATTGGTCCGCCGTTAATTTTTGCAGTTAAGTTGGATGGAAAGTGATGTGCCTCTCACATGCTTTCAATTTACAACACTACATGAAAATGGACTTTTAACAACACGCATTGCATCTTGCTAAAACAGATTTTTCATAATTAAAACTTGATTGAAATTCGAAATTATGTAAATTCCAAAAAAACAAAATCGATATATATTGTTTTAAAATATTTTGAGAAATATTCTCTAAACAATTGAAACATTGTTTTAAAAAAATGAAATATTGCTTTCAAAATCAAGATTTTCGGAATTCAAATGAAAACATTATTTCAAAATAAAATAAAAATTCGATCCGAATAGGTGGGATAAGAAACCTCCATTTCAATCTTCACCCTAATTTAATAATGTAAAACTCGATAAATTGTTTCAAAATATTTTTAGTAGTATTGTCTAAAATAATAATATAATGTTTTAAAATCGGAATTTCTTGAATCCAAATGAAAATTATTGTTTTAAATAAAAAAAAATATGATCGTAATAGGCGGAGTAAGAAAACTCCGTTCCAATTTTCAACCTTATTTAATAATTTAAAACTCGATATTTTTTTTAAATAAATTCAGAAATATTTTTTAAAAAATCATAATATTGTCTAAAAAATAATATTGTGTTTTAAAATCGAATTTTTTGGAATTTGAATGAAAATATTATTTTAAAATAATATAAAAATTCGGTCAAACTAGGCAGCATAAGAAAACTCCTTTCAAATTTTCACCCATATTGAATAATTTAAAACTCGACATATTGTCTCACAATTGGGATTTTTGGAATTGACTAGAGGTGAAAATTGGAATGGAGATTTCTAATTCCCCAATTCCTATCGGGTGTTTCATTTTGGTTTGAAACGATATATTTTAATTGAAATCCAAAAATGCCGATTTTAGAACAATATTTTAAAATTTTAAACTATATTTTTATTTTTTAAACAATATCTCCGAAACGAGTTGATTTTTTTGGAATTTACGTGATTTTGATTTTATATTAAATTTTAATTAAAAATAATAATTATAAAACATTTGTTTTAACAAGACGCAATGCGTTTTGTTGAAAGTCCATTTTCATGTAGTGTTGTAAATTGAAGGCATGTGAGAGGCACATGCCATTTTCCATCCAACTTATCTGCAAAAATTAACGGCAGACCAATCTGTCAACAAATGGCATGATTAAGGACTACTATTGTAACTCCAAAATGTTTAGGGACAGTTTTGAAAAAGTGGGTGAAGTATGAGGACGAAAAATGTAATTTTCCCCGTAAGAAGCTATTATTATACATTCTTGATAAAAGGTGTGGTCCTTTTTTTAGTGTATAATGGTTCTTTAATGTTGCATCAAAAGACGAAATCCCTTGCCCCCATCATCTGGCCCAACATGTTTTTTTATGGAGGAATATAAATTTCGGCCTAAAAGTATGCACATTTTGCTTGTGCTACTCGCCATGTGCATTTATAAGATGGGTTGGTCAAAAATTTCGACCCAATCCAATGGGTCGGTTAAAATACTATTATCCGTTTGAAAATATGGTCGGTAATGGGTAAAAACCAATCCATCCTCAGCCCTACTCTTACCTAATTTCTCTAATCCAAATTCCGAATTTTTCTTTCACTCTCTAAATTTTGTAACGGGATAAATAAAGTTTTTGTCCCTCAAGTTTGCACCTCTTTCACATTTGGTCCTCCATATCCACAAAAAACACATTTGGTCCCTCATGTTTCAAAAATTCAACACTTATAATACTTTCTGACAATTTCCCGTTAAAACTAACGGAGTCAAGTGTGTGCTCATCACTACCTTTACTTACGGACTAACGGTAAATTGACAATAATGACCAAAAGTATTAGACTAAAGGTGTTTTTTGTAAACATGGGGACCAAATGTGAAATCGGTGCAAACTTGAGGGATGAAAACCGTAATTTTCCCATTTTGTAAGCCTAGCAAATCTACACCAAAATTATTCCCCTGAGATTTCCCTCTGAAGTCGTAAGCCACAATTTTCGTAACCCCTTAAAGCCATAAACCCATGCAAAAACTTTGAAGAAACTTACCAAAATCGAAGTTCAAAGATAGAAACTTTGGAATTATGGAAATTAGGAATTCACAATAGATATAGGGAGATAGAATGACGTGTCACTCCACCTCATATTTAATCTGCCAAATAGACTGAGGGTCTGTTCTAGCTCGACTTTTAACTGCTAGATAGACGTCACGTGCGCCTCAAGTGACAATTTCGTCCAACTTAACTGTCGAACCAAAAGTGTCAAAAAGTAATGAGTTTGAGGATAGATTTTGTGGCGAGGAAAGTTTGAGGACTAAAATTGTTTTAGTGGCAAGTATAAGGATAAAAACTGTAATTATCCCTTCTTTAGTAGTATAGAGTTGATTATAGTAGAGTATATAGGGCATCTCCAATGCAGTAAGCAAATCAGGTCTCTAAATTCTGATTTTGAAAATCCATATAGAGACCCGGTGGAATCTTAGAGTCTCTAAAAAATAAAATCCCACAATGGAGGGCTCTATAATTTTGAGTCTCTAAACAATGTCCCGTGAAATACATATGAAGCTCCAAACAAGTTAGGAGATTTTGCAAAAATCTGAAAATTTAGAGTCCACATTTAAAATTTAAATTTCTTATTGGTGTTGAATTTTATTCCACATTTTCTATATTTTGAAGCAAGATGGAGTTTGCTTACTCCATTGGAGCTGGCCTTGGTATCAACAATTTATTCTCCTACTTTTCGTTGTAAGAGTTATGCTAAACAATGTAACTGAGGGATTTTTAGTCTGCTTTCAATTAAATATAATTTCTTTATAAAAAAAGTTTGAAAAGTTTTTCTGAATACAGATTTAAAAAAAAAAAAAAAAAAAAAAAAAAATAGAGAGCAACTTTTCATTTTATTTATGATATTTTAATTTCGTATTTTTCAAATATTTTTAGAACAAAACTAGAATTGGTTTTCTAATTTCTGTAATGCTAATTTTGATCTGACCCGTCCTATTTTTACCCTATAGTTTAGAATGTTTTTCAAGGTATTTGTTTTTCATTGAACAACGTTATTCAAATCCAAGACTGTGTGATTAATTAATGCATGATTTACCTCCATTCCCATATATCTCAATGACAAAAAAGAAAAAAAGGAAAAAAAAGTTTCTATGTGGAGAGGTCATTAAAACCACACCCCTATTTTGTTTAGGTAAATAGTACTTAAACCCTATGTGGTTACAAGATTTTGCACATGACCTTCTTGTGCTCGTAATATCAGAACATAACCCACTGTGGTAGATAGAGGTAGCGTTCTTTAGTTTTTTCGTCAAAATTAACTGCGCGTGTCAAACGTCAAATAATACATTTTTGCAGATAATCCCCTCGTGCTTATTGATGAAGAGGCGATGGAGGCGGAACTGTGTCAGACCAAGCTACTCTGAACCGGAACGACGACGCGGAACGACAATGGATTTTGGTGTTTCGAGGTCGTTTAGGCCCTAAAAAACGACGTTTTTGCTGTTTTAGGAAATTTATAAATAATTCATAATTAATTCAATAAAATTCGGAGTTGAAACCCGCGAATTGGGTTATTCCCAATTTGCAGTATTCTATTTGATTTAGAAGTTATATCGTTTTTGCCTTTTTTGGTAATATTTCCGTTTTCCTAGTTTGATTAGTATAAATAGTTGTCATAGAGCTTATTTTTTAGCATCGTTTATTATCAATAAAATTTATGAGATCTCTCTCAATTTCATGGTGGATTCCATAGTCTTTGTGTTCTTTTCTTTATTGTGCTTCCATTTTGCGTCACTTACATTTTCCCTTTATTTTTTGCAGATGACGACACCCTTAAAGTTTGACCGCAAGGTTAAGTTTGACCGAAAACTAGTTGGCGCTACCCCCTCAATCACAAGGGGTTATGTGCTGATATTACAAGCACAATGGGTCATCTGCAAAATCTTGTAAGCACAGGAGGTTAAGTGCTATTACCCTTTTTTTTTTTATTGAATGACTAGTGTACAATTTTTATAAATGAAATGGTCAAAGATTGTTTTGCCATGTTAATACGACAGTGAAATGCAGATGTTCCAAGCGTACACCGTAGCTCCGTAAACATGATACTCAACATTCAATTCAGTATCATGATAGTCGGATACACGGGAACCTTCATTTATATGATAAAACGTTGGAATTGAAGCAAATTATGCTGGTACATTGCGAGCATGATAGATTTTTTTCTACTTTCTCCAAGAAAGAGAGAAGATATGAACAAGAAATATAAGGACAACGAAAAAAAGAGGAAAAGATAACAAGTCATTTAAGACATAGCAAAACCTTACTTAATTTTAGAAGCTCGAATATATAATTTATATTTTTGGTACAACTTTCTTAATAATTTCCATCAGAATATCATCTTCCTCAGATTCTTGCAGGCGACTAATTAACATGTACGAAGTAGATGCGTCGGCCGAGAATCCCCTTTTGTGCATTTCCTCTAAGAATGGCACTGCCTTGTAAAGTTCTTTCTTCTTCAACAAGCAACAAATAATGATGTTGTATGTCATGCTATCCGGTGCGCAACCACTTCTCTCCATTTTTATAAGCAAATCTTTTGCCTCGTCTACAAACCCTTCTTCACAAAGTGCACGAATAATGACAACATATATTTTAATATTAGGTTTCAACCATTTGGAAGGAAGTTCGTTTAAAAGCTTTTTCGCATCTTCAAGTTTCCCATCTTTGCACAAACCATTAATCAGGACACCGTATGTGATTATATTAGGGCTTACTCCTTTATCTTCCATCGCCCGTAGAAACGAAAATGCTTCGGCAATCTGATGAGTCTTGCACAAGCCTTCCAACAAAATATTGCAAGTGCATAAATTAGGGTATACTTGCCGAGTTTCCATATCTTTATAAAGTTTCCATCCATCAGCAATTCTGCCTTCACTTAATAATCCATGTATCATAGTGTTATAGGTAACCGTGTGGGGCTCTAAACCTTTAGAAGTAACTTCGTGAAAATGACGCAACGCTTCATCAACTTTTCCATTCTTGCAATATCCGTTGATTAAAGAGTTATAGCTGATAATAGATGGCTTAAGGCCGCTGCCCGTTATGGAATCAAAAACTTCTTTCGCTCTATCCATTTTCCCTTGCAAACAATACCCATCTATCAGTGCATTGTACGTGACAATATTAGGACTAATATTTTGTCGCTTCATAATTTTCAAAACATCCTCTGCCTCTTTAACATTTCCTTCTTTGCAAAATGCGTCCACCAATATACTAAAAGTAACAACATCTAACGAGATCTTGTGATTGACCATTTCATTCAATAAGTCTTTAACCTCTTTCCATCTACCGAAATCGCACAAGCCCTGAATCATCGAGCTATATGTGACAACGGTGGGTGCAATGCCCCTATCCATCATTCTAGATTGGAGCTCGAGTGCATTATCCACCATTCCGCCCTTGCATAAGCCATCAATTACCGCACTATAAGCCTTAACATCGGGTTTATAGATAGTCTTATCCAATAACCATAGCAAATCACGAGCAGCAAGAATATGTCCATTTTTGCAGAGCCCGTTTATCACAGTCAGAATCGTAACTTCATTTGGCTCACAAAGTTTCAAAGTCAAAAGCTTCTTGAACAGTTTTTCTGCATCGGCCACTTTACCATCTAAAAAGTGCCCTTTTAAGAGGGTGGTGAATGTCGTAACATTTGGCTCGTAGCCCTGTTTAAAGAAGCTGCCGAAGATAGCGAAACCGAAGTCTACCCGTTTCAGAAGGCAGCAGCAATTAATTAAGATGCTCAACGTGTACTGATTTACAGGGGCAGCCCATTGACGCATTTCGTCGAACAGTTGAAGGGCAACATGGTATTGTTTCATCCTGGAAATAACTTGCAATAGCTTGTTGAATTCAACGGCAGAAGGCTGTGGCCGCAGCCTCACCATTTTACGAATCAAGGAAACAGTATAATCTAATTCATTTATACGACTGAAATCTGTTCTCCGCACAGTTGAAAAGGGCCTATTTTTGTGAAAATTTGAACAGAAGAAAGAGAAAGAAGAAGTAAAAGTACCGTAGTAATGAAAAGATTCAGTAGTAATTGCTCTACAAACCATACCAATTCCAAAACGCCGCATCCTCAGAAATTTTGTTGAACAGAAATTCGGCTGCAAAATAAACAAAGTTGCTTTCCGTTGTGTGAAAGTGTATTATGAGTTATTATAAATAAGAGCTAATAGCACAGACCCCTGTGTTATTTCTAATTGGTGGAAAAGTCCCTATGATAAAAAAATTACCAAGAAACCCCCTATGTTGTGTTAAATATAGTACACAACCCCTTAATTCAGATTTTACTGTTGACTTAAAGAAAATGACAAAAGTACCCTTACCAAAGGGAAAGGGGAAAAGAGAAAAAGGAAAAACAAAAAAAAAAAAAATCTTCAACATCGCCGCCGAATGTGATGACTGATGAAGCAAAGCAACAAACCTTCAACAAAACATCTCCTGTGATTTGGCTGCTTCATTATCTGTGAGTTTTCAAGCTTCCAAAATCATGAAACATCTCTTTCTATCCTCTCAAGAAAGTCCACAAAGTGAATTTTTAAGCTATCAGTTGGTGACTAGACTCAAAATAAAGTTATGAAAGCATCGTCCAACATCGCCGCCGACCGCCTTTCGCCACCGGCTTTCCGACATCATCAAACCACCATCAAAATCCCATCACCTCACCGTCCCTCCGTTCGTAAACAACAACCAATCAAATAAATTAAGATAGTTCATTTATTTTGTTTTATTTTTGTATTCAAATCGAATGTCAACCTAAAACATGGAAATGGATTGTGAACTCCCAAAACAATAAAATTATGTTGTTCTAATCGAATTAAATTATATCCGGGGAAGGTGCTGTATTTTGTTTCTGGAATCGTGGGGTTTGTGGGTGGCTTGAAGAATGGAGAAGAGCTGGATGGAGTAGTCGAGCTTCTCCTTGTACGGCAAAAGGTCTCATCAACTCCCTCCAGAAATTGGGCTCCGGCTTCTCCTCCTCCAATTAGTACGTGAACATGGTGGTGGGTTCGAAACAATTGGGGATGGGATGATTTGGAGAGATGGTGTTTTTGAAATTGTCAGGCACTGAATCGAAAATTATGAAAATTTCATTTTGGTTCATACAAATTTCAGGATGAATATGTAATTTTCGAAAAAATGAATAGAGGGTATTTGTGTCTTTTCAGGTCCAAAAACACACCCAAAGCCAAATGAAGTTACGATTCTGAATGTGATATACCGGCTCAGCAGTTTTCAGGGGAGTTTTGGGCTTTGACTCCCTTTTTTGGGGGGGGGGGGGGGGGGGGTATTTGCTATTTATTTTAACACAGGGACTTTTACGACAATTAGAGTTTACACAAGGATAGTTTTTGCAAAAAACCCTTATAAATAATAAAACAAATAAATAAAAAATTGTATTATTATGAGTGAACAGTAAATTTCTTATGTGATAGCAAAAGAGAAAAATACATTTTTGCCCCTCATTTTTAGTTTTTACTACTAACGTTTTTGTTCCCCTATGTTCCAAAATTTGCTTTTGGTCCCTCGATTTACAACGTGATGATATATTCTCAGGTTGTTCATGGGTCGATTTTACCCGACAACTGACCCACTGTCCGAGTACTCGTTTTGGTCGGACAGATAATTTAACTAACCCATGTATAATTGGGTTTGGTATAGTTTCGAAATTGTTGAAAAGTCGATATTACCCAACCAATCGACTCCCCCCCTTTTTTTTGCATCTCTTGTTGTGTTTTGACTGACTACTCGGTTTCAATATTTATTTTTTGACATTTTGGTGAAATAAACAAAAGTAAATAACTAAAATAACTCTAATCTTCATTTTCTCTTTCTCTCCGACTCTCGTCTCTCTCTATCAGCCCATCGCCGCCGACAGGCCGCTGCTTCCTCCAAATATTTACCTCTAGCCCTCTCTAGTTCTTTCTAAACTTTAAGGTATGAGCTTTTAATTAAAATTGAAAATTTCAGCATTTTGTGTTGTGGAAGTGTGGATGGCTGAAAGTGATTCGTTTTAGTATTTTGTATTGTTTCTAGAATTTTAATTTGGAATATGTGATTTTGTTGAAACATGATTTTGGGCATGAAATATTGGAATGTCAGTTGCTAAATTTGATCAAGGAATAGCAGAAAATATTTTTATTTGTTTTGTCTATTGTGGCTGATATTGGCCGATAATATTCAACCGACCTGTTTCGGTAACCGACATAGTCGATTGCCAACCATTACCGACTCACAATAGTCAGGCCGATAATAGTTTTACATATTTGCAAAAGTCTGTTGGTCGGATCGGGTCGGGCCGATAATCAACCGACCCGACCCATACATTTCATGCCCTCCGTTAATGGGATGCTAGTAACTAAAGGAAAACTAGTCGAAAAGGATGGGGAAAATAAACTTTTAGTCCCTCGTATTTATAACTAAAGCATTTTCGATGGTTATATATTACAAAACAAAAAAAAAAAAAATTGAAGCAACCACACTTGTGTGTTTGCAAAATTTTTTGGAAACTTTCGCAAAAAAAGCTTACCCAAAAAGGTTTTAAAAAAAATTCAACGCCGGATACTAGCCGGTAAAAATATTTCTGAAAAAAAAAAGTTAAAAAAACAAGTTTAACGCCGGAATCTGGCCGGAAAAACAATTCCGAAAAAAAAAACATTACTCTAAAAAAATATTTTTCCAAAAAAATGTGAAAATGGGGGTTAATATGATATATTTATTCATATTCGGGGTCAGTGTGGAATATTATGAAGTTAGAGTGTAATAGATGATATTGATGAAAATTATATTATGAAGGTTACATTTGACAAAAGACATTAGATGACTTTATTTGTGAAACTTTTTTTGTTTGGACTTATATGCAGTTAAGTCTAGCCCTATGGGCTTGTTTACCATTTGCCTTAACAAGAATCATTGAAATTCACATATTAATAGTAATAATACATGGCAATTGTTCCTTGTGCTATAGTTAGGGGTGGCAATCAACGAAACCGATTGTAAATGGCTTTTTTTGGAAATTTTTCTTTTTCTTTTTCTTCCGAAAGTTAAAAATGGGTTTCAATAACCATTCCAAGAAAATTGGAGTTCAATAGTTCATTCCAATTTCGGAAATTGAAATTGGCGGAATTTTGGAAAATTAAAAAAATGCATTAATATATACTTTTTGTTCTAAATTCGAACGCGTCAAAATTTCAGAATTTTTTTATATTTTTTTTCGGAATTTTCCATCAAAATGCAAGAAAACCAAAAGATATTTCAACAAAGTGCAATAAAATCACATGTAGAAACACAACCAAAAGTACAACCAAAAGTACAATAAAATGCAACAAAGAGTTTATGATAGAAAACAAATGCAAGATACCAACTAATTGTTTCTAGGTTTTTAGTGTACATTGTCCTTGAGTGTTTATATTTTTCATTAAAATTCATCATAATCATATTAACATATTAACATACTACAAAATATATTATCAAGTCTGACGGGCCATTGAGTCAACATGATTTACATTTCTCCATCAAATACTTGTCGTGCAAGGGATGGGGCACTGGAGCGAGGGATTTCGCCTTTTTGTACAAGTATATCATTAACTTATATTATTACATCTAAATAATAATAAATTATTTATATATTTTGGAAACTAATCGAAATATTCGGAACTAAATTTGGATTGGAAATCAGAATATATGGTAATTTTATATACGATTCCGATTCACATCAAATAAAAATTTGGAAAAAAATCAGATATTGGGATTTCCAAAACCGGAATGAAATAAATGGTCAAAATTCGAATTCTTTTCAGATGGTAATCAGCAAAATTCGGAAATTTCGTTCAAATTTCCACGGTAGTTATAACATAGATAAAGTAACTTTTTTAATTCGTTAATTGACTTTGTGGTGACTGTCCTATTTGCTAATTGCTATAATATAGATATACAACATAGACTTTGCAATTCAAACATTAGTTTATGGTAGGCTGCTAGCTGTTCAATTTGCTATATTATGCTATATCATACATGTGTAGTATATTTTTAAATTTATTTGTGTTATAGAATATCATATATTATATATTAATACAAGACCACTGAAGAGAATATGTATTGTGAATGGGAACAATAACCGAGGATAAAAGAAATTTATTTTGCTAAAATGAAAGCTTCTGATAGAGAATGTAATTGTCGAATTAATTTTGTTATTGTTTATCCGATGCCCAAGCATCACTATTTATACAAGAATGGAATAAGCATGACGGCTTTGAGTGGATATCTATTACACAAGTGGATATCTATTACACAAGGACATATAATACTTAGCTATTAAAAGATATATGCTGAGGCCTTAATGGATAATTTATAATTCATTCGTAATGTCCCTTCTTGGACGAAGTGTTACCGTATCGGCTGTAAAGTGGATGAGTACAATATACGTATGCCTTGTTAAGAATCTCAAGCCGGAAAATCCAGTGGAATAAAACCGGTCAAGAGGCAAAAATAGTGCATAACTCAATCCAAGCCGAACTGTACTTTGTGTAGAACTTTTCGAGAGAATCTTGAAGTAAGGAATTATGGTAATAACGTGGTCTATTTATAAGGTTTGAAAAGTAGTGTCCTTTGGAGCAAAAGGTACATAAACACACTGGTTGGGCCCAGATATGTGTTGTTTCGGCTAATGTTTGAATTTCATATATTTATATGTAATTTGATTGAGTGCAGCTCATGAGGAGCGCTAGAGTTCGGCATTTTAAATCCATCAGGAATTTTCATATAAATATCAGAATCTAGTGAACCATATAGATAGGCCGTTACAACGTCCATTAGAAGCAGGTCCAGTCCCTCTTGGACGACCATATTGATAAGAAAACGGAAAGTGATCGTATCGATAACTGGTGAATACGTCTCATCATAATCAATCCCAGGTCGATGGGAGAAGCCTTGAACAACAAGGCGGGCTTTATATCTTACAATTTCATTGTTTTCGTTTCTCTTACGGACAAATATCCATTTATACCCAACGGGCTTTACATTATATCCGGAGTTTGAACAATTTGCCGAAATACTTTCCGTTTTTCTAAGGAAGCCAATTTAGATTTTATTGCTTCCTCCGACTTAGGTCAATCATTTCTTTGGCGGCATTCCATTATGAAACGCGGTTCACTAGAAAAAGTTTGGCAAAATTCAAAACATACCCTTGATATATCAATATGTTGACTTGGTGGACTTAGAATATTCATATACTGAAATGCTATTCATAGTGCAATTTTTACCGCCTTACAGTGCGATTTATTTCATTTGTAACTTTCCTAAAAAAAAAAAACAAATTCGCCCGCTATTTCGTGTATTATTACACGAAATCCAATCAATAATTTCGTGTATTGTTACACGAAATATAAGTATTTATTGTTATAGACACCAAGGACGAACTGTTAGATTGAAAAAAATCGTGTATTTCGTGTAATAATACACGAAATTTGACTTCATATTTCGTGGAGTTTGCCACGAAATGGAAGATCATATTTCGTAGATTTTTCTACGAAATATAATGTAATGTTTCGTGCAATTCAGTACGAAATCACTAATTGATTTGTTTTTTAATTAACCAATTTATTTCAGACACTGAAATTGACCTAAAAATTCAAATACAATACAAATTGAACTAGAATTCAAATACAACTACAAATTGATCTAAATTTCAAATACAAAATTGACCTAAAAATTCAAATACAAATACAAATTGAAATAGAATTCAAATACAACTACAAATTGAACTAGAATTCAAATACAACTACAAATTGATCTAAATTTCAAATACAAATACAAATTCAACTAGATTTCAGATACAACTACAAATTGATCTAAAATTCAAATACAAATTGAACTAGAATTCAAATACAACTACAAATTGAACTACCGACCATACTTTAATTGTTCGTACAAGAGTAGTCGGGGTTTGTACATTTTGAGTAAGTACCTCAAGCTTTTAGCTCTATGGTGTACCCATGCCGGATGGATTGGTGGTAGAGGACTATTCGCGACCAAATTAACAAACATGAAATGATTGTTGTGCAATGTCACAACAACCATACATGATAAGTGACCACTGCCAAACATAGGAAGGTAAGTCATACTCCCTACTTGAGTCAAAAGTACCACTAATGCACTGTATCTGGTAGCAATGGCCAATCCCATTTCATTCATGTCCATCCAATAAGCTTGTGGACAAGGCCCTGAGGTCCAGTCACACTTGCGTATGACCTTAACGTATCCGGTACTGCCAAACATCGCCGTGTACACATTAGCATGCTCGTATAACTCAATAAGCAACTCCCCTCTCACTTGCGTCCATCTTTCTTTATCCCCGTACACGGCTTGAGCAACGCACCGGTACCCACAGTTGCCATCCGCCATCACGTTAACATAATCTTGAATAAGACGGACCATAAATCTGGGTACGAAAGAATAAAAGTCGATTCCTTCATGTGCAGGTATTATAGGGGCAACAGATTCTTGTGTGGGAATACGAGAACCACGACCTTTCATCTTCGATTGAGGCGTTCCATCAGTGCTTCACTCAACCTTTGCTTTAGGAATCTTTGCACCAGATGAGGTTTGGCGACCCTTGGAACCACAAGACGACTTAATTGTCTCCTCATCAATATGATACTGCCATCCGGAAGGGTCTCTCTTTGTCGAGTTATTCTTTGGTTGTCTTTTGGTCTTAACAAATGATGGCTCGGACAGATGTGACGTAGACGGATAAACGATGCCACGCAATGAGGCCACGGCATTTATGTTACTCGTGTAATTCATCTTCTTCAAATTGCAATTCAGGTCATCAATCTGTCTATCCACAATCTCCTCGCGGTTTACTTGATACTCAGGTAGCTCCGAAGGCTCAACTGCCATGGTACTCCAGAATGGATGCAAGTCTGAAATGACGAACGTGTCATTATCTTCCATTTTCTGCACAATTTTGCACGCGCATGGGAGCCCATGAGTATTCCGAAGATAGTGTGTGCAAATACTCGGATCTTGCATCGCCGGGGACTCCATCTCTTGATCCAATTTCTCTAATGCCAGATGCGTAACATAAAAAATCAAACCCTGAAAACACGGCCATGCTGCAGTATGCTTCCTTATCTTGGATGATAATGAAAAATCGCACTTCAGCTGACTAATTTGGATATAAACTTGGTCCCGAAGTTTGCCTTGCACGTTATCCAGACCTCCGGTCGAAGCATTTAACCAACCCTTCGCTGAAGAATGAGCACTCTCCACCCTATCCAATTACAACAACAATCAAAGCATACAACGACAATCAAATTACAAAATAAATATTATTTTTATATAATATATTTTATCATTTAAATAACTAAAACATGTAATACATGTTGGTGCTCGTGTTGCCAAAATGATACACATTGCGAGTATAGGCTCGAACAAACTTCTCCTTGTATATCAACCACGTATCATTCAAATACTGTATCAGCCTAGGATACCCTGCATACCGTCCACAATTTCATTGTAATTGTAATGATACTCTTCTTCGGTTTCTGATTTCACCAGCTTAGCCCACAGCACACGTCGGAATATTAGACCTTGGTCTTTGTTGCCTCCCATAAATTTTGTCGCATTTGCCTCAACATTTCTCTTTATATGGAATATACACAACATATAATACGAAAATGGGAAGACATTTGGCAGTGCTTTCAAAAGACCCAACTCCCTGTCTGTCAAGATTGCATCAGGTTCGACACCATCTAGCAACTCTTTCAAACAATTCAAAGTCCACTCGTAGGTGTCTGCATCTTCATGCGACATAAATGCAACAACAATTGTAAAATTCCTCCCAACTGGAGTTATCCCAATTATTTCCAAAAGAGGCATAGCATACCTACAACAATGTTGTTTTTACATATTTAAACAATACAAGACATTAAAACACAATAATCATAATTTAAAAAATCGTAATTTTACTTACTTATTGGTTTTGTATGTGCAGTCCATCAATATAACATACGGGAACAGCCGTAGTAACTTAATAGATTCGGGACATGCAAACATAATATCTGTAATCGTTTTGCTTGTTTCACTATCGACGCGATGCCAATATCGATACTCGCCTTGTTGAAAGTTATGCATCATAAAATGAATAACAGTCATGCCCTCCATTTCCTCAGATTTAATCTTGGCCAACTCATTGTAAACATGCTTCATAGAGGTTTGTATCGTCGGTCATCTTTCCTCAATCTATCCATGATTAGCATTGGCTTCACGTGAGAATTTCGCAATTCTTTAATTCTTGCTTTCTGTTGTGGAGTTATACGACTAGTTGTACCTTGTCCGTGAGGAAACAAAGCCGGACGATGACTATGCCTGCCATCGCTGACTGTCAACCGCCATAATTCATCAAACCTTGACTTTTTGCCAATCAATTTGAACGGACAACCACATTTTTTTGTTCCTGTGTTTCTAGGATCTTCCACATCGATATTCGTTTGTCGGCCATGTCCGTATTTGTCACACGTCAGGTACTGTGCATTCTCCCTTCTAGACTGACAAATCAAACGGTGACAATGACTAACTGCAGTTGCTTTGGCCCAGTTGATTAATTCTTCCCTACTACCGAACACAATATCAACTTGGAAGAAGTGAGAGAAATCTTCATATTCATTTTGATCCAAAACCGATGGATCAAAATACAAATTGTCGTCATATGGCTGCGTAAATACAAAAAAAAAGTTAGATACTTGCACACACAAAAAAAAAATATACTAGGTATTTCGTGTAAAAGTACACGAAATGCATGCATACACATTTCGTGTAGTACTGCACGAAATGAGTAACAAAACAGTTTACTGCTGTTTCGTGTGACTTTACACGAAATAAGTGGTATAATTTCGTAGTATTGTACACGAAATGACTGGAAAACATGAATAAGGTGTTAATTCCGGGCAAAACACCACGAAACGACTTGAATAGTTTCGTGATATTCTACACGAAACGACTGAAAATCGAAAAAAATCACACTAAAACGTAATTGTTTACCTCATTTACGGGACCGATGTTGGCCATCTTGATAATCGTTGGGTTTTAACTGATTTCTACGAAAACAAATCACAATCTACAAACCTCGAAATATTTGGAGGTTGAGAGGATTTTGTAAAAGGTTAAAGTGTTTTTTGACAAATGAATTATTTCGCACTGTAGCTGGAAAAAACCGCACTATGAATAGTAAACCCCATTCATATATGATATACCCTGTGCATGAACTACCGCAAATATATATATATATATATATATATATATATATATATATATATATATATATATATATATATATATATATATATATATATATATATATATATATATATATATATATATATATATATATATATATATATATATATATATATATATATATATATATATATATATATTTGGTAGTGTTAGAGTAGGTGACCGACAAGCCAACTTGTGGCTGTGGTCTTTCTCTTTTCTTTGTAATAAAACAATCGTTTTTCGTTCGTAATAATAAAATATCTTATTTGGCATTCTATATCTGTTATCCCATGCAAGCAGCATAGATATAGTCCTAACGAGTTACTCTATTACTGTGAGTTGATCTAGTAGAATCGTGAGATAACTCAGCAATGTAATGTAAGTGTTAAACCTTGTTCCTAGTCGATGGGTTACGCCAATAATGAGGATACCGGCCTTTCCCTTTTGAGACTAGCACTTAGTGTATGTGTACTGCGTCTCATCAGTCCTCGGTGTTGTGACATCGGCATACTTGAGTGGGTGCTCATACTGGATGAGTTCACTGAACTCCCTCGCCCTAGAAATCTATAAGTGGTTCTCATTCATCGAGTAATAGGTTTCTAAGATATAGTTGTACACCATTAGTCCTTAAGACCCAGACATCACCGTGACTTCACTAGAGGACCGATTGTATCGTGACCTGTCCCTGAGTCCCACCGCGGACCGCTCCAAGGGCCAACGTTCGTGCAATCCGAAATCTAGTGTGAAGTCTGTGCATTGTAGTAGGGGATTCGAGCGCTTGAGTAGTCATGGATGTCCTGTGTGTTCTGACGGTTTATAATCCATGGAATCTCTGGCCAGAGTTGATAGTGGGGTGATTAGGGAAATGTGTTTCCCTAAGTCGCACACGAACGGATTTATAATACCTAGAACGTTCGCACGGTTATTGAACTTTATAAGAGGTCTCGGTGAACCAATGCCTCTCGTTCAATCGGGACATGTGCTACGAAAGGATCGTACTGTACGCTAACTATATCATAAGGTTCTTGCAGGCACTTCATTTGTATCTAGGGAATCATGATGCGTAGTTGCTAGACGCCAATCTTGATTCGTTGGGCACCGATTTGATCGGGGATTAGATAAAATGAGTTTTACTCTAATCGGGACTCTTGGGAGGAGTTCATATAAGAACAATGTGTTGTTCGAATCACAAAGAGTTGTGAGCCCACGGCTAGCATACACCTGAACCATTGAGGGTCACACTTCTCATGTAATATAGATCCTTGATAACAACAAGCATAGATTAATGTGTTAATCTTTGAACGATTGGATGTCGATATGATTGAATCCAAGATTCGTAATTGTGAATTGCGAATTGGAATAAACGTGGAGAAAGAGAGAAATGCGGAATTAAGTGAACTTTCTAAATTGGGAAGTTTCCCGATTTAGCAAGTCCACTGAAGTGGAAGTTTCCAATTTTGGAAATTGGAAATTTCGAAGAGGCACTCGTATCGACGAGGACTTTGAGCTCGTCACAAATATAATTTTGTTATAATTTTGTGAACGATCGTTTATTAGAAACGAGGCCGACGAGGGAATGGGTTTAATGCATCAGTGGGTCAAGCCCAATGACTTAAGCCCGCTAGGGTTGAAAACCCTAGGTATAAATAGACCTCAAACAAGAGTTTGAGATCAGATTTTCAGCACCAAAACCCTAGCCGCTCAAGCCCTAGCCGCTCCCCTCTTCGGCCGTTGCATCTCCGCCGCGCCACCGCCGACCACCGCCGGAAAACGGCCGGTTTTCTTCTCTCGTTTCCTTCGTTTTATTCTTGTTGTTATCTAACTCGTTTACATCTAGTGCTGTAGTTCGAGTGGGTCGAAAATACGAGGTGAAACCTAATTGGAGAGGAGCTGCTGCCCCGACGAATCCGTTCACCGCCGCACGCGCCGACACGCCGCTCACGCGCCGCCGCTGCCGCTGCCACGCGCCGCCGCTGCTGCTGCCGTTCACCGCCGTTCGTCGCTTGCTGGATCAGCTTGGTCCAGCCGTGAGGTGCAGCCCCGAGGATTGGTAATTTGCAGCTTGTACGTGACTCGTTCTAGGATTTCGATTCGTCGAAATCGCACGCTACAAGAGGTAATTAAATCGGAACCTTCGTAATTCGATTCGAACATGTTTGTATGATTATTAATTTACGAGCATGAGTAATATATGATTACGTGTTTAGATTTTATTAAATGATGAATAAGCATGTTTCGTAATTTTCGGTTTTATGTATTTTCAATTAAATCGATAATTACCATATGTATGGCGGAAGCATTAAGGTACGTTGACTATGTGATTAGTTTATGCATGTAATCGAAACTAGTTCGATATAAAATTTTTAAATTCCGCTGCGTATACATGCACGATCCCCAACAGTGGTATAAGAGCCACGGGTTAATCGTTTATTTGTCAACGTGTTTATCGTTTTCGAAAGCATGCTTCGATTTGTTGAATTGTTGAATTATTGGTGTTATCTAATTGGGTGTTTTAATATTAATTAAATATTTTGAATATTTCAGAAAATATTAAAATTTTTAATTTTGAAAAAATTCGATTTTGCTGCTGTTTTTCAGCTGACCGAACCGGTCCGACCGGTCCGGTCAGCACAACAACAAAAAAAAAAAAAAAAAAAAAAATTAATTTGATTTTCTGAAATTAATATTAAAAATTAATTGATTTTAATTTTTGAAATTATTTATCAATTAAACCCAAATTAGATAATTGATCCATTAATTTAATTTGAATTCAAAGAATAGTGTTGGATTAATTATTTAATTTAATCGTTAAATTAGTTTAATTAATGGAACACAAATTAGATAGCAAATAATTAATGGACTTCATTCTTATTTGAATGATTTATGAATGAAGGAGGTCCGTTAATTATATTTGCAATTTATCGTATTAATTAATTAATTCATGAGATGAATAATTGTGATTAAGTACGATGATGATCGTATGTCTCTCTTAGGATCAATATGCGTTTCCACATACCTAGAGAACATAGTTGTAGGAATCACAAACGATCATAACCTAAAACTTCCGATGAGCTAATAAGATTTAATAAATAAAATCCCTCATTCTTAATTAAGAATAATTATCAAGCTATAAAGAAAAACCAAATTGTTGAATTTTTCTTTCCTTCTACCAACAATTAAATTATGTGTAGCCTCTCATAATAGTGCAGTAAGCCGTGTTAGCGGGGAGTGCTATTGTGGGATAAGCTGTAATTTAATTGACATTAGATGGAGATACGGTCATAGATAAAATTATGTTGGATTAATGTGGTCGGCTAGATTAACTAGGGATTGCATTAGTTTGATATAGTTGGATCTATGGCATCTCATATTGGTAGGCTAGACTTGACACACGAAGATTTTGATATTCGCTAGATTAACTTAGGTCATTATCAAGTGTGAGGTAAATCGATCTTTAGGGTCACATAGTGATGTGATTGATAGTACTCTACCTTTAGGCTTATGTAATCGGGATAGATTAACTACGGGTTACATTAGCGCTATTGGACCTAAAGCCCATTAAAGAAAAATAAGTTTTCTCGATTGTCTGCTAGAGGGTGGTGGAATTCGATAAAATTAGTGGGAGAACAATTAAAACATAAAAGTCCAAAATTTTAATTGTAACGATTATTACGAACTAAACTCTAATTATTGTCTTCTTAAAATTTTCTCAGCAACAATGTCCAAACATCCCCTTTCCTCAATCCTCGACCAAAACAAACTCACCGGTCCAAACTATTTGGATTGGCTTCGCAATCTGAAACTTGTGCTCCAAGTCGAGGAGCGTCTCTATGTGCTCAATGAACGTCCCCCCGCTGCTCTTCCTGCGACTGCTACTGCTGACGAGA